ATCATTCGAACAAATATTTTCTAAATCGTGTTAATTGATTTTGAACTAAATTTCGTATTCGTAAGTAATACGAATACACGTTTGCATACATATAAATTAATTAATATTATCAACAACAAAAAATCACGCGCGCACACAACGCTAAATATTAAAAGAAAAATCACTAATATTGTATATTAGAAAGTGTTTCTTAAAGAAACATTCTTTCATCCTATTGATTTTCAATAAATATCAAAAATTATACATTTGTTATAATTTTAAAAGAGTTTTGACGCTGGTTCGTGATATAGCGATAATAAAATCTAAATAGTTGAATGATGATGTACACGTCAACATGTCAAAGCGAAAGAAACCAATAAATAATTCGATAGCGACTAGTATTGCTGTGAATTATATTATAAATATTTACGAGTATAATAAAATTTGCCGATAAGTCTATAACAATAAATTGATTTTCATAAAATTGAATACAATTATCAAGCATTGGATGTGCAATGATGCGTAACTAAATTCATTGATAAACGGATATAGAATTAAAGTATGTGTGGAGGAAGGAGGAGCACCAAATGAGAAATTAAAGGTCAAAGAAAAGAGAAAAAAATTTGTTTGAATTTGAATATTCATTTAGCATGTATTCGCCTATTCCTATTTTCGGATATCTTAGCAAATAATATATATTAAAATATATTAATAAACATCAATTCGAGAAAGTTATAGTGAGCAATAAAGAGATTGTAAATTTAACAAGCCCCTTTGACACTAAAATAGTGATAACTTTTTTTTATCTATTTATAACTTGGATAAAATCCTTATTTTTGTCACGATATTGCAAACTTTGGCCTTTAGCGTTTTTTTTCTACAGCTACTCTTTATTCTTTTATCATTTCTTGCTTATTAGTATCTAGAGCGTTAAAATTGGTTGCGAAAAGAACAAGATTAGAACTTTTCGTATCTCCTATATATTCTCATTAGAAGCACGTAGACAATTTTTATTCTCGGATAAGTTGGCAAGAGAATTAGGAATTATTTTAAAAATTAAATCATTAGTTAACGAGCTACATTCAATTGTTTAAATTTAAACATGCAACTAAACATCTGACAGAGGAAAAATTACGAGTAGCATAATAAGCTTCGAAATTTTATTGGGAAAAAAAATTATACCTCTATAAATTACGTGGATAGTGTATAGTTTAGATAAAGAATAATACTTAAAAACATTAATTGACGCGTTTGAAATTTAGATTTTAATAATTAAATTAATAGCACTTTGAAAATTAACCGCCGAGTTAAATTGTTACATTCTTATACTTATAAATGTTTTTATTTCTTTAGCATAAGTAAGCCTATAAATTATCATACACACATATAATTAGATATATGTATTATAATTGGCACTAAATATATATATATATATATATATATATATATATATATATATATATATATATATCAACATTTAGAATTATAATATTGTGTCTAAACGTTTATAGTTAATGCCTTACATAATTTTGACGATTTATTTAAATAAAAAAATTAATAAATGAACAAAATAAAAAAAAAGAAGAAAAAATGATGAAGGAAGAGAGAAACCTTTATATTCAGAATTCTATTTATGAATATTATTTCCTACATAATAATTATTATAAAATATAAACTAAATTTCCATGTTTTAATTTACTAATATGTTGAGCGACATGTAAATTTCGAGCTCAACGCGGCTTGTATTATGAATCAGTACGGCTTGTAATACTATTTTGCAGCTTAATTAATATATAATAATTTTAAACTCTCAGCTTCAAGATGGGATTTATTAATGTAGGACGTTCAAGTCCCAGAAGATTAAAATGAGTATCTAAAAATTGAAACAAACATCTAGGAATATTAATTTTATAATTTTTTTTCTTCTTTCCTTCTTTCTTCCTTACTTTTTTTTTTGCTAATATACTTTAATATTTTCATCGCATCGTATTATAAAAGTTAGGTATGACGCGTGTCTGAATATTATCTCAAGCTCAAGATACTTGTAATTAAACTTTCAGTTACATTATTGATTTTCCTTCAGTCACACCCATCAAATAACCGACTACAAAATTTATCTCAATTAATTTAAAAAAAAATCTTCGACAATGTAGGCTTTCACGCCACAGCAAGCACTCTGTAATATTCATATTGTTAAAGCGGTGAATTACTCTCGCAGGAATTGCGAATGAGAGAAATAATCGCCAGTCCCTCTATTAGTAAGGATGATATTATTATTCCGTAAGATCGACATTAATGCGCAAGCCTACGAGCAACAAAAACGAGGACACTAGCAAGAAGCACTCTCGTTATTATTTTATGATCGGCAAATCGCTGAATGCGAGTCTCGAATCTTCTTCCCGTCCCTACCTCCTATCTCTTGCCAGTTTGCTCTTCGGTGCCCGTTTCGCACTCGAGTTTCGCATTGCGCATGCGCGAACGACTTACCAACAAGACGAATAACCAATGATAATCGGCCGTTGAATCGACGGGTTTGTCTGTTCGACTTCTTCTGCCACGCAGTCCTGGCCCTAATACGCGCTCCCACGCACGTATGCGCGCGCGGGCACGCGGCTGATGAATGCAAGTACCGAGTAGAAAGCTCCAAGGATCCCGTCTATCCTTTTTGATCTGAAGTGCGGCACAGGGTTTTCCAATGGAGATACGCGATTTCGATTTTCTATTTTCTATTTGCGCCGGGAGTGGAAATCCATTCGTTGTAACGCGACTACGATTCGCGCCCGTTCAATTATTGGAAATTCTAAAGGAACATGGAAGTTCGTTTATTTCTATAAATAAACAATGATTTGTTCATGTATGGAAGTATAATCAATGAATAATTTGGATTGCCAAAAGATAGCGATGCTTCGATAATTTATTATAAATATTTCTTTATTCAATGTGTCTCTTGTTGCGGAGCTGTTTTATTTATTTATTTTTTTTTTTTTTTTTTTTAACGCTTGCGATCGGCCCAAATGCGATCCTCGAGTGATCGAACGATTCCTTTAAATTTTAAATAAACGAGTCGGTAAGGGTACTTTGTATAGCATTAAAATGTTATATAATTTTATTAGCCAGTATTTGCTTTTTAGCGTTTAAATGATATATAATTCTCTTTTACTGAGCTACTCGATTCGCGAAATTGTGCAACTTGATTCCGTGGCATTTGGCTTAATTTGGTCGGTATTATTATAATGCAAGAATTTTTTTTTCCTTTGAATTACATTAATTTACATTACATTAATTTAACAATTTACAACGTGAACATTTTTGTATCCCATCAAACGAAATCCTCCGCTAGACTTAAATTATTTAAAAACAAAAAACAAAAATAAATAAATAATAAAATAAGCCAATCGATTGAATAACAAATTTCTATATAATAAACCGTTGCTTAAAGTGCGCAAATATAATTAAGCTCCCAAAGGAATTCCTTTACACTTTATTTCCTCTTCTTTACACGTCACGTATGTGCGGCACTAGCTTAGCACGCAAGTTGTTGTAAAGTGCCGCATAAGTCTCTCTCGCTCGCACTCTAAGGGCTCGTTTCGTCATTCCATCCGATCACTACATTTCGCGAATTTCGAGCTTCGTTAAGTGCTTTGGCACGTGATCGCCGGCCGATATTCGACGACTTTAATTGCGTCGACACGCTACGCTGTGCTATTTATGCGAGAGCACCTCAAGTACTTACCCTCCTCTTTCGCGTTTTTCTGTCAATTTCGTATTGATAATGACCAGTTAATTAAGCAAAGTCAAGTCGCAAATGAGGTTGCCTCGCTCGGCTTATCTCTTTCTCTCTCTCCCTCTCTATCTATCTCTCTATCTAGCTATCTATCTACCCCCCTCTCTCTTTCTCACTCACTCTCTCTCTCCATTTTTCATTGCCGTTTTTTTTTCTGAAAATTATATTAAAATGATTTGTAATTGCAACGAGTTGTTCGCGTATACGAGCACATGAAAGAGAGATAAAGAAAGAAAGAGAACATCAATTTTCTCCCAATATATATATATTTTTCCTTCCCGCTTTGTTTGTGAATTAACAGATGAAAGTTTGCCGAAGCTTTCGATAACGAGCACCAGCGAGAATAATAAAATATCGAGATTATTTTTAACTATATATATATATATATATATATATACACACAATACAAATTTCAATACAATATTTAATTATGTACATTCACAAATCATTTATTTATATAAGGTTCTTCATCGCATTTATTTGTTATGCGTTGTCAATTTTGTCGCTGTCGCTGATCTAGTGAAAGTATGCAGTCGTACGTTATCTGAATGAGAAAAAAAGTCCGTAACAAAATATCTTGTCTTTTATTATTTCCGCTTGTTAAAATTGCATAAAATTTTATAATTTCGCTAATTTGCATTAAATTCATTTCTAGGCTGAAAAATATTTTTGATGGATCAATTTCTCAATGACTATGACCCGTACGAGGCACTTTAAATCCTTCAACTGTTCATCTAAATTGGCACGAGAGATATGCCGAACTTACATATACATATATATATATATATATATATATATATATATATATATATATATATATATATATATATTTATATATATCCCATTGTTTCAAACTCTTCATACAAATTGACACTAAGTGTTTATTTAATTACATGGCTCTTCGTATATTAAACAGCTAAGTTAATCAACAGTTACGTACGAAACTGTAAGAAGGACGTAAAGTGACCGATATTTTGCTAACGTGATGACGTATTGCTATCATCAAGTTGGCACGAAGGTCGAGTAGCTGCGGAATCCGCAAAACGCAAAGAGTTTGAAATCAAAAGGAAGAAAGGGGGAAAGAGAGAGAGAGAGAGAGAGAGAGAGAGAGAGAGAGAGAGAGAGAGATTGGATATATATATATATATATATATATATCTATATATATATATATATGAGTAATTTTTGTTTGTAGAGGGGTTGGGGGAGAAGGGGATGAGGAAAGTGAAGCACTTACCGTTGAGACGCAGTTGTGACTGGGCGATATGAAGTCCAATCCCCTCTCGCCGTCGCCGCTGAAGCACTTTTGTATATTACTCATGAAGCGTCTGCGAATGGCCTTCAACGAGTAAACGCACAACGCGGACTGCGCCTTGGGCTTGCTACTGTTGGGCCCATCGCTCTCGGCGAAGACGGCAAATAGTACATCGTCCTGGGGCGTGTTGCCGAGATCGCCGGCGAGGACCGATCCCGCCTTGCCGATGTACGCCGCCTGCACGAGGTTGTAGGTCTTACCCTTACTGCTCGTGCACTCGATCGGTATCTCCGTGTACGAGTAATAATGCTGGTCGTCGTGGCAGACGCGCACGAGCTTCGAGATGAAGACGGTCTTGCTCGTGCTTTTGAGCTGGGTGGTGAGGAAATAGCTGAAGCCCTCGCTGCTGAAGCCATAGATGTAGTTGATGGGGTAGCGCTCCCGCGAGAGAGAGTTCACGTACATGCGGGTGCCGGTCGTCACCGCCGAGTCCGCGATGTTGAGCATGCGATCCTTGTCGAGGGAGCGTGAACTTACGGCGGGCACCTCCGAGCGGTAGGGCGAGTTCCCGGTGTACGTGACGCCGACGTACATGACCTGACTGACCGGTGGATTCGGTGGTCCGGGCGCGATGAACGCCACCGTCGAGGCCGTAGCGTTGTTCGCTACTACGGGCTCCTTCACCTCTTGTACCACCTCGGAGATGTTGCGCAGGTCACGGACATTGCACATACCCTGAAAACCACAAGCGGATGGGCGTGCATTAGTTACCGACTCCTCCAGAGTTCTTTCTCGATTGTTTTAGGCTCGTTTGAAGTGAGCGATGAGTGTCGTCAGGCTTTGTGTAGTTTATGTATTTCATACGCGCTAATGCAATTAATGAAAAATTGCAAAATTCTTGCATCACGTGTGAATCTTTAGACGTACGTTTATGACAAAGAGGAATTTATTATCGGTCAATTATCGTATTTTAATAAATCAAACTTTTAGTGGATGCATTGAAAAACTTCTTATAACCTTTTTGAAAGCCAGTCACTACAAAACTTCATACACAAAGTTATTTGTACGCTTTGTCGATAGACATTATAATAATTAAAAAATGTTAATGATGTCATTTATAAAAATACAATGAAATCAATGGCATCACTTATATAACAACGATTTTTAAATATTAAATATTAAATTATTCATATTTTATAAAAGCGGCCAAATTATTCGATTAATTTTTACGAATTATCAACAATTCTTGTCGCCGCTCTTTGTTCCTCGAATTACATCCTGCCAGATAAATTGTTTTATTAACAATGGAGTTATGACGGTTGCGAAAATTTCGATAAGATAAAAGATTTTTATGCTCTAAGGAACATTATAATAATAGAAATAACTGATTAATTTTATCATCAACGTGTCACTTTAATTAAGTTATAACACCACATTACAAAGAACATCAGTTTCGTTTGACTTTAAAAACAAAACTTTTATACTTTTAGAGGAGGTAATTAGAAATTCTAGTGAATTTAAAATACACCGTCTCCTACGTGTATCCGATGATAAACAAATGCATTAAACTAGTCAGCATAATCAAACCATTTAGACCAATCGTTATGATAATCAATAAGAATAACTTATAAATAGAATTAGAGATGATGAGCGATAAACATAAGTGAGGATGTATTGCGTTTGCATGTAATCAAAATGTGACGTGATTTTTAAATCTCTCCAAGCATCTATAGTAATTTCAATTAAATTGTGATTGTTGAAAAAATAAAATCTTTCTTCCGTGCGTAGGCGTTGATTGTAAAGTTCGCGACTACTACGTCAACGCGTCATGTGTATTATCACAACCGATTGTATGACTATGTCCTCTTTCGCTTTCCGAGCGATCGAGAGGAAAAGGAAGACCAGAAAGGAAAGAGAGAAGCAGCAAGAGTGAAAGAGTGAAAGAGTGAGAGAAAGAGAGAGAGAGAGAGAGAGAGAGAGAGAAAGGAGCAAGTCACGCTGCAGAGGTTCCCTTGTTGGTTTAACTTTATGGGAATTCCTTATCTGGATTGTGATTCTGCCGTTTTTTTCCTCTCGCTATTCTCTTTTCCTTCTCTTGCTCTCTTGCTCTCTCTCTCTCTCTCTCTCTCCCTCATTCCTTTTCCGTCCCTCTCTATATCTCTATCTATCTATCTATCTCTCTCTCTCTCTCTCTCTCTCTCTCTCTCTCTCTGTCTGTCTCTCTTTCACTCTGTTATTCGTGATGGCTTTGAAATGTCTAAACCTTGATACGGCTTGCCGGATTTTCAGGCCAATGCAGACTTCTAGCTGACTCTTTTCATCATTCGCTAAACAAGGGCTACAATTAAAAATTTTCGCTTCTCATCCTATAACTACTGCTTAGTATCTAAGAAATTTCTTTGCAAATTATTTATTCATCGCTAGCGAGTCACAATGACATTAGCAACTGCACCGACCTCTTTGTTGAAAATTGTTTTGGACAATGGACCACATCGTTGAGCAAAAAACTTATGGCGCTTTCAAGACTTTCTTACGTAATTTATTATTTGCATAATTACGAATTACCTCTTTGTCTTTCAATATTATTTCTACTGATGGATATTTGAATCATTTAATTAAAGTAATATTAATTATAAATGAATTAATATGCGTTGAGCTGAGTGCAGTGTCTCGTTCCTTTTAATCTTGATTATTGTATGATAATTATGTTAATATAAAACATTTTGCAAAATATTACGGCATTTAATTATTGGTCAATTAATTGGACAGCTATAAAAAGCCGTCGTTTTTATATGCATTTGTAATTTTGAATAATAAATGTCTCGCCAAAAATACGTCTATTTAGGTAAATTGAACGATATATCTATGCTCGGCGGTAAACTCTCGCAAAACTAGAGCTTTTAACAAATTAAATATTTAAATTACTTTTAATAATCACGTGTATACTCTTATTTATTGAGATTTATAATATTACTGTGAAATTAATGAAAAAGTATAAAGTCCAATCACGCTGCATTATCAGATATATGAAAGTAAAAACTATATGATCATATGTATATAAACTATATAACTATATAAACATATGCATTGATTAATTTCTAATTGAACGAGGAATATTAATGAGTGAAAATTATATCGATTTACAAACTCTTTGGTCAAATTTTCGTTTATTTATTCTTAAAGAAAATAAATATTCATAACTCATTCTAAAAGGTTGTACTTGTCGAATTATCGAATCGAGCAATCTCCCGTAAATCAATTATCTGCGATTCATTTTATTTTAAAAACAAAATCAAACCACGTTTTAAAAATCTCGTGCATCGCGCTCTGTAATCCAAATAAATAAATAAATAAGAGTGCAGACTTTACTTTCTCACCCGACGACTAAATATAATTAAATCTTCGAGCTTACTGGTTAACCAAGGCGCTCTGAATACGAAAGAATAATGTCCCGAATCTTTCGTCATTTACAGTTACTTCCACAACTGATCGAATTACATAAGTCTCGATAATAATGATTGAACGCGCGCTCGGAAGTCCCAAAGGCCATTGCCTCGTCCGTCCCAAAAATCACGACGATGCCTTACATCCAATTATGAATATCCATTCGGAAGCCCGCACTACGTACTTTCACCCGACCGACGGTAGGAGGCGAAAGCCCCCGCCGACCCAGCGGAGTAGGGGCACACGCGCGTGCGAGATACGGAGTGACAGAGAGAGAGAGAGAGAGAGAGAGAGAGAGAGAGAGAGAGAGAGTGAGTGAGATAGTGAAAGAGAGAAAGTACCTGAAAGAGGCTGCCACAGGAAATGAGCCTCGTGGTCGTGTAGTCGATGACGAGGGCCTTGTTGACGTTGTCGAGGAGCTTTCGCACGGCCTCCCGGGGACAGTCGATCATGGAGCACTCGGGCGAGTCCTTCTTCGGGCCCGTCTCCTCCTCCATAACGAGGTCAAGATCCGGCGAGAACTGGTAGAGGCGATTGACCGCCCCGACGTAAACGCGACCGGTGTTCTTATCAACCACAAGGTGGTTCATGCGGTCGACGCCCGGGTCGTAGAACTTGGCGACGATGGCGTTGGGCGAGCCGAGGCAGCAGAGCAGCTCTAGCTGTACAAGCAGGAGGCCCAGCAGCGCACCGGCCCAAGCCCTGCCGGCGCCCGCCCCTTGGCACATCCTAATCACCCTGGATGCACCACCAGTCGATTCTGAAAGTCAAAGTGAACATGGTTATTCGGCTTGGAGAGCAGTGGCGCTATTTGAACGAGCTAAAGCTGTTAATAATGGGTGTGCATGGTGAAGGAGTTTGAGAAGTCCGGGAGAATAAGCGAGCCGGACTTTTGCTTCTCCTATGATGATTCATTTGCCCGTTAAGTTTCACTCGGCTTGCGCTACATTGCGAGTAAAACAATGACGGCTTCGGTGATTATTCGAGCTACCTTGGGCAATGTCTTGGCAAAGAAAGGCCATTGCGATATCGATACGAATATTTTTGATGTTTTTTCTATGCTTTTTCTCGCACTTTTACCGAGAGAACGAATAAATCTTCGCCAGGAGAAAGCCGCTATTTGTTAAAACTCAATGTTTCAATAAGAAAAGCGTAATCGATAAAGTAAGCTAGTCAAGAGAAAGCAGTCGCTTATTAAAACACATACGTAAATCAAATTCACCGTAGCGATAAAAATCTAGTCTTAATTAAAATAAATAATTGAATAAAAATACATACAAAAGAAACAAACAATCAAACAAATAGAAGGAGAAGGAAATGGAGGGAACGAGTCCGTATAAATAAAAAGCGATTTATAAAATAAAATAATACCCTTGTTCACATATCGCTAGAGTGCAAATTCAAGTAGTCTGAGTTACGACTGTGCGACTTTTCGACTCACTTTATATTATATTTAAGAGAACTCGTGCGATGAGCTCGGTATTAATTAAATAATTTTCAGAAATGTTTACCATTGTAAATATATATATATATATATATATATATATATATATATATATATATATATATATATATATATGATTTAAAGTATATGAATTGCTTTTCGATTTGCAGTATTAACTAATTTTAATGTGTTTGATGGAAGTTTTGCTTTCGTTACAAGCACCATAAATTTAATGCGTGAATCTGTAATAGTTTGCATAAAAACTTAGAGCAAGAAAATAAATGACGTGCAAAATGTAATAATCAAAGTAACAATTGTTTGCAAGGTTTAATATTCGTTTATTCATTTGATGCTTAAGATCTTCGAACGCTAGTACAATAACGAATTTTATTGCAAAACTAATATACATCACTTTGGAAGTATAATTCTAAGAAATATCGAGGCAAATATTAAATGCCCATTTATAGTGTCGTGAAAACCACTATAGCCATTAACGTAAAAAAAAAAAAAAAAAAAAACAAAAATTAGAAAAGAAAAGGAAAATGTTTAAATTGTAATAGTATCGAAGGAAGACAGAACAGAACAAAGACCAAAAATCTCAACAACAAAAAAAAGAAGAAAAAAAGAAAATAATAATCAATTAAAAATTTTTACACCACATTCGTGTCATCAGGATTATCATGCAGAATACATAATTTTTTTAATTGAAAAGCATTGAAATACGTTATAATATCCTACTTATCAGATTTCTCTTGCATTATTAACGAAAGCATTCAATGTAAATCTGTTTGATTAGACAGTCAATGATAATTATAATATCCAAACATTTAATGTAGAAATGCCTCTGAAAATAAATTCACACACCGAGCTCGAAAAATTTCTCATCGTTCGATCGTATAAACGATTGCCCAGATTTAAACTTGGCGATGTCGATGGGCATTGAATTTGACAAGAATGGAACGTGTCAAAGGGAATTTGGAAAAAAAATCAGTGCACCTCGTTGGCCATTTGAAATCGAATCGATCGCCTTAAAATACCGGTACGCTTACCAGCCCATAACAGCATCGTTATTACAGCAATCTAATTTTCTAAGAAATTAATCGCAAAAATCACGAGGGAAAGATGAAAAATGATAAATGATAACGTAAGAAAGAAATCGGACATTACGCTTTATTATTATGGGCGCTGGAAACGGTCGCATCTTTCGTTGGCAATGCGACTGGGCCTCGACTCGTCGCCTACCTATAACGATGCCCAGCATAATACAAATATTTCAAATTAGCAAAGAAAATCCATTCGATAAATTATGAGCGGCCGTTAAGTTTTTATCGCCAAAAACACGCCCTATAACGTTCAGCATCGTAAAAGAGGCTTGAATCGGGCGACTCTCATCGTCAAGTTGGCATTGTGTAACCATCGAGCGACCGCTCACGTACAACCTCACCGACGACGAGAGTCCCGCACTTGGATTTCATGCGCAACCAGCCCCGGCAACAACAAAACCGTCCACACGCCTCCTTATTATTCAGGGGTAAAGAAACTTTTAATCAGCGAAAAAAGCCCCCGAGTCCCCGTTACCGAGTGAGAGACCAAAGTGATCGGTGAGGTGGGGTGGGCCGGGGGAGAGGACGCGGCGGCACGCAATCGATCGCATTTGATCAGCAATGAATTAACGTGGAGAACGCCGATAATAATAGTGATTTAACTCATTCGTCGTCCCCGTAGTCGCGGGCCACTTTCGCCCGTATACATATACATGTATGTACGATGGTGGGGCGAGGGGAGAGGATGTAGGGGGCGGTGGGAAAGGATCCGGAATATCATACGTACGTGCATTGTCCGAGTGCACGAGACTACGCAGAGGAGCGCAAGGCGCTCCGAGCGTCAAGAAGGCGAGTTAACGAGCCTCTCGTGGTCGAGCTTTTTAATGAGCCTCTGGTACGCCATTCGCCGAGTGGGAGCGAGAGGGAGAGAGCCGTCGAACAATCGATACCGCAATAATCGATACGAGATCGATTTCAGCCAGTTCTTGGCACGCCCTTCTCTCTTTCCCCGGAGCTTCATTTGGTCCCTCACCTCTCTCTCTTTACCGTGCCCTGTGTGTCCTATTCCATCGTTCTCTTGGTCCAAGTGCACACGAATGATTCATTTTTCACGTGCTCTTATAAAGCTTGGCTGTGTATTTACGTTGTAGAAACCTCGTCTCTCTCGCACACACGCACAAACACACACACACACACACACACACACACACATACACACCCATCCAAATACACTATCTCATTCGCTCGCTCACTCACTCATTCACTCACTCTTGTCTGTACTACCATTGATTGTGTGCAACGTCGATTTCTCGATTTATAACGGACAGCATCTGCTTCCCCACTCACTTTTGCTTTTTTATATTTCACTTTGTTTATATAACGCTGACTCGTGTTTTTTTTTGTTTTCTTTTGTTGCTGTTGTTGTTGTTGTTTTTGTTTTTATCGTTTAGCCGTGTTGTGATGTCTTAAAACGATTCGTCAAAAGGATGGATTGTCAGCGACGAGGTCTAACGCGCTGTTCATATTTTATTATTGATTATTTTAGAATATGTGAACGACGAGTCTAGCGATAATATATAAATATATAAAAACAAAAAAACAAACAAAAAAAAAACAACAACAACAACAAAAACAAAAAAGGACATGAAAATCTGTAAATAACAGGAGATATAGATTGAAATTTCCATACTTTAACTATCGGCCATTAGTTCGCGTAGTTACTACACAAAATGCATTTGAGTCTTGTGCTGGGAAATAATAGCGGCATTACGTACAGCGATAAAGGACTTTGTATAGGGGCCGATTTGAAATGCCTGCACAGTCCAAAACTCAAGCGTCGTATTAAGTTCGATAAACTGCCGATTCTTTATAAATTTTAATTCCCCCGAAATCAAGGGTCCGCAAACATTGGGCGCTGTAGAGCGATAAATCGACCGTTAAATATCACTCGTAAACAGATTCCGACAGTTCCTGTAAGCAAGACCTCGCTCCTGCCCAACCACTGCCACGTCTCGTAAAAAAAGTGGCCACAAGCGGGCGCGCAAAACAAAGATAAAATGCGCGGACAGCGGTGTAATCCATACTCTTTGGAAATAAGACCAGGACTAAAGCCATTAAGAGCGGCGGTGGAACCACGATGGGAAAGTGCCACCATGGAATAAAGCTATCTATTTACACTCACGAGTAACATAAATTTCCAACCGAGTCGTATAACCTTCTTTCTTCACAATAGCGAGCAGGTATACACGTTTGCCGAGGCGATCCCGTGCCAATCATTCAAGCCTCCCAAGCGTCGGACGAGCTGATCGCCTCTCAACAAGACGTAACTGACCTTTCACCGTATTTATGTACCCACAATAGACGTATTAGCGCACCATTGTGTTTGTTTTTCGCGCCGCTCGATTCGTGACATCGGGAACTATGTCTCGATGCGGCGATATTTTTACCGAACGCTCGATCGTATCTCAGCACCTAACCGTTTGGTACATAAACCGCGCGCGCGCTCGTGTGTGTGTGTTGTTTTTTTTCAGATTGAGGGGAAGATCGGTAAAAGGGCAATCGTCCCTGTATTTATGCGACATGGATTATTCACGGTTCGCTCGACCAGACATATGAAGTAACACCATAAAGTCGCACGGGCGCGGCGACACCAACGTGCTACTCTCGTTTTCCATATATATTTCCGTATCTCTCTCTTATATCTCTCATCCCCCCCCCCTCTCTCCCCCCTCTCTCTCTCTCTCTCTCTCTCTCTCTCTCTCTCTCTCCCCATATATATCTCTCTCTATCTCTCTCTCCCATATCTCTTTATCTATCTATCTCTATATCGCCCTCACTTCTCTCTCCACTTCTTGCGCGTTAGAGCTGTCGCCAGTTGGCGCGGCAATGACGACTGTGAAAATGCAAATTAATTCGCGAGTTCAGACGCCCGAGAAAATTATTGCTCGGTAATAAGAGTCACTCGGCTCCGTTTTGTTGCTGTCCATTTTCTCTGTCGAAATAGCGGTAATGATTATTATTTTGCATTAATTTGTTTGACTTGTATTTTAAGAAAAAAGCTGTACTCTTCATTCAATTTGAGTGGCGAATTTTCAAAATTGCCAATCTAGCATTCATATAGCCTTTTAAATTGCAATTATTATTATTCAATATATTCTTCTTTCATTGGTCATTTAAAAGTTTTGTCACACTTTCATACTTCAATGGAAATTCATGTTTACAAGCGACTTTTTACACTTGAATTGAAAATATACAAAATACCCTGTGACTATG